AGAAGTTGCAGTGAGTCGAGATCACGCCACTGCACTCCACTCCAGCCTGGGTGACAGAGCGAGACTCTGTCTCAAAAAAAAAAAAAAAAAAAAAAAAAAATCCCAATAAGAGTCCCAATGTTAAAGGATACCACAAGTCCAATACCTCAAGGCTGTAAATAAAATAGTCACACTGTAGTTCCTGCTATTTCCAATCCAAACACTACACTGGCCTCTATTCTAGAGCAGCCAACACTACCCACTTGACTGTACTAACATACCCTCTGCCTTCTTTCACACACCTGATGATCCACAGCCCCGTTTCCCTTTCCCCTGGAAAGTCAACAGTAAACATACGTAGACTGCTATGCCTCAGTGGTTCGTTGAAACCCCTACTTACTTTTTTTTTCTGATCCTGAATGCTAATTTGAAGGATTTGGTTTTCTCCTATAACTCCATTCTAATCCCATGCATAGATGATATCCTGTCTGGTCAGTTCATTCCAGCAGCTCATTCACTCACACTTCACACGTGCCCCAAGTTTCTGCAGTTATACAGGAAGTAGGAAAAACAAAAATCTGCCCCAAGCCCTTGCTCATAAAGGACAGGCTCATGTCGGTAATCCCAGCACTTTGGGAGGCCAAGGTGGGAGGATCGCTTGAGCCCAGGAGTTCGAGACTAGCCTGGGTAACATAGGGAGACCCCATCTCTACAAAAATAAAAAATAAAAAACTTAGCTGAGTATGGTGATGCACACTTCTAGTCCCAGCTACTCGGGAGGCTGAGGTGGGAGGATTGCTTCAGCCTGACAGGTGTGAGGCTGACAGGTTGAGCGTGAGCTGAGATTGCACCACAGCACTCCACCTGGGCAACAGAGCAAGACCCTGTCTCAAAAATAAAATAAAATAAAAGATAATGAGTGTCTAGGACAAATTATAACTATGTAATTCATAAGAACAAGATTGAGGGCATGACCTTGCCCTTGAAGGCAAAACCTTATCCACACAGCATGCATCTATACCATTATTTATTTTGTTTTATCCAAGACTAAAAGGCAACTCCAATGGTTTCTGGGCCGGTCATGGGTTGAATTTTGTCTCTCTAGTACCTCAGAATATGACCCTACTTGGAAATAGGGTCATTGCAGATGTAATCAGTTAAAAGGAGGTCATACTGGAGTAAGGTGGGCCCCTAATGCAACATGACTGGTGTCTTTTTGTTGTTGTTTTTTGAGATGGAGTTTTGCTCTTGTTGCCCAGGCTGGAGTGCGGTGGCACGATCTCGGCTCACTGCAAATCCCGCCTCCCGGGTTCAAGCGATTCTCCTGCCTCAGCCTCCCAAGTAACTGGATTACAGGCATATGCCACCACACCCGGCTAATTTTGTATTTTTAGTAGAGACGGGATTTCTCCATGTTGGTCAGGCTGGTCTCAAACTCCCAACCTCAGGTGATCCACTCGCCTTGGCCTCCCAAAGTGCTGGGATTATAGGTGTGAACCACTGCGCCTGGCCAACTGGTGTCTTTATAAGAAGGTGGCCACGTAAGACACAGGGAGAAGCATGTGATGATGAAGGCAGAGCTTGGAATGACGCAGCCACAAGCCAAATAATGTTAGAGATTGCCATGAGCCACCAGAAGCTGGGAAGAGGCAAGGAAGGATTGCCTGGGGAATTGGGGAATTGGAGCACCCTAACATGCCTTTGTTGTTGTTGTTGTTGTTGTTGTTTTGAGACAGGATCTTGCTCTCTCTCACTCAGGCTGGAGTGTAGTAGCACGATCATAGCTCACTGCAGCCTCAAACTCCCGGGCTCAAACAATCCTCTTGCTTCAGCCTCCCTACTAGCTGGAATGATAGGCATGCACTACCACACCTGGCTAAGTTTTTTCCTTTCTTTTCTTTTCTTTTTTTTTTTGGTAGAGCTGTGTTGCCCAGGCTGGTCTCAAAGTCCTGGCCTCCAGCGATCCTCCCCTCTCAGCCTCCCAAAGCTTTCGGATTACAGGTGTGAGCCACTGTGCCTGGCCCGGCCTCTGCTTCTATATTTACATATTTCTCTGACTCTAACGATCCTGCCTCCATCTTATAAGGAACCCTGTGATGATATTGGATCCACCGGGATAATCCAAGATAAATCTCCCTATCTCAAGATTCTTAATCACAAAAAGTTCCTTTTTCCATAAAAGGTGCTATATTCACGGGTTCCAGGGATAAAGATGTAGACATCTTTGGGGGGCCATTACTCTTCCTACCAGAGCACACATCAATAATCTTCTTATGAAATAATCACTCAAAGACTCACAAGGATTCTGCTCCTATTGGGCCCTTGAGGACTCTAATCTATTACAATCGACATTCTCAGATATTATCAAGGACTAAGTACACACATGCTTGTCACTAACAGGTGCAAGCTGCCTTCCCTCCAAATACTCCACTACAGCCTCTTCATAATTTCTAAACAGGGAATTTAGTCCTCCGGAAAAGACATCGCAGGAAGACTAACCTTGAACTCAGATGGGATGGACCCTACACTATTGCAAACACCAGACTGTCCTGCCTTGGGTTCATATCTCAGAGATGAAGAGATATAAGACCTGTGCTGAATGGGAATCCACTGCCATTAGAGACCTCAGAGGGAGGCTCTTTCAAGAGCCCTGGAAGCAGACGAGGCTGCATCTGTAGACAGCTCTCCCAAGAACCTTGGGTCAAGTAGATGACATCATGAGACAGCCTCCTCCCGGAATCAGAAACTCCAGGATTCCCTGCCACACACACTATTTTAGAGACAGGGTCTCACCATGTTGCCCAGGTTGTCCTTGAACTCATGAGCTCACACAATCCTGCCTCTATCTCCTGGGTACTACAGGTGCATGTCACAGAGCCTGGCTAGGATTCTCCATTTTAATACCCACTCTGGTCCTCCCGTGCCTGCTTCTCATCATGTGACTTTTGCCTTTCATTTGTGTTCTCTCTATTTTATTTTTTTGAGATAGAGCCTCCCTCTGTTGCCCAGGTTGGAGTGCAGTGGCGTCATCTCAGCTCACTGCAACCTCCGCCTGCCAGGTTCAAGCAATTCTCCTGCCTCAGCCTCCCAAGTAGCTGGGATTACAGGCGTGCACCACCACACTGAGCTAATTTTTGTATTTTTAGTAGACACGGGGTTTCGCCATGTTGGCCAGGCTGGTCTTGAACTCCTGACCTCAAATGATCCGCCTGCCTCTGCCTCCCAGGCTCAAGTGATCCTCCTGCCTCAGCCTCCTGAGTAGCTCAGACTACAGGCACATGCCACCATATCCAGTTTGTGTGCCATGTTTGGAAGCAACTGTTGCTTGTTGATTCTCCAGAAATCTTTCTCTCTCTCTCTCTCTTTTTTTTTTTTTTTTTGAGACGGATTCTCCCTCTGTCACCCAGGCTGGAGTGCAGTGGCACGATCTTGGCTCACTGCAACCTCTGCCTCCTGGGTTCAAACGATTCTCCTGCGTCTGCCTCCTGTGTAGCTGGGATTACAGGTGTGTGCAATCACGCCTGGCTAATTTTTGTATTTTTAATACAGATGGGGTTTTGCCATGTTGGCCAGGCTAATCTTGAACTCCTGACCTCAGGTGATCCGCCCACCTCGGCCTCCCAAAGTGCTGGGATTACAGACGTGAGCCACCGCACCTGGCTGATTCTCCGGAAATCTTTTGGCATCGTCATTAATAAAAGCATCAAGAAGTCAGAAAGGAAATCTTCAGAATTGCTACAGCTCTTTGGACTCCAGTAACCAAGCATGTCTCTTCACCTCCTTCTTGGAATCCTCCCACCATCTGCTGCTCTCTGGTCTCACACCTTCATTTTTTTTCTCTCTTTTTAGTTATCTTCCTAGGAATATCCATCTTCAAATGCCTGGTGACCAGAACCCTAAATCAGCTCCAGGTTCAACATTGTACTTGGCAAATGACTCAACTGATCTTGTACATACAGCAGGGATGGAAAACTAATACTGATGTCATTCCCAGACACTTATCAATCCTTGATTGTCTCCCTATTGTTGGAAAATTAGGGCAGTGTAAGAGAACCCCCCCCTTTTTTTTGAGACAGAGTCTGGCTGTATCTCCCAGGCTGGAGTGTATTGGTATGCTCTCGGCTCACTGCAACCTCCACCTCCTGGGTTCAAGCGATTCTCTCGCTTCAGCCTCCCCAGTAGCTGGGATTACAGGCGCCCACCACCATGCCTGGCTAATTTTTGTATTTTTAGTAGAGATGGGGTTTCACCATGTTGCCCAGGCTGTTCTTGAACTCCTGATCTCAGGTGATCCACCTGCCTCGGCCTCCCAATGTGCTGGGATTACAGGCATGAGCCACCACGCCTGGCCCTCAACTTTTTTTTTTTTTGAGACAAGATCTCACTGCTGCCCAGGCTGGATTGCAGTGGTGTGATCATGGCTCTCTGAAACCTCTGCCCTCCCAGGCTCAAGTGATCCTCTCGCCTCAGCTTCCCAAGTAGCTGGGGTTACAGGCGTGCGCACCACCACACCCGACTAATTTTCTATTTTGAACAAGAGGAAGACTGAATAAAGGTTGTCTCTACCAAATTTTAAGACATTTTTTCCCCTGAAACTTACTAGATTAGTTTTAAAACGTATTGATCAAACCCTTCTGTGGCTGTTGATCCACGGAAGTCATTGCTCCAAGTACCTGATACATTTCATTTAATCCTCAGAACAACTCTATGAGGCAGCCAGTATTATGATCCCGTGATCAGATGAAGAAACGGTGGCACAGAGAGGTTAAGTTTTCCAAGGTCACACAGTTGTAAAGTGACAGATCTGTGACTCACCCCGAGGAAGTCTGGCTCCTGGAGACTTTGCTGTCTGTCGCCACTATCAATTTCTCTCCATCTCACCACCAGAAGGTCACTTCGTGCACGCGGAATCATAAAAGAGGGAATATCTCGTATGATCTTCTGGGCCTTGGCTTTTAGGGAGCCAAGGTCTGTCTGAGAGATGAGTGTGAATATTAGAGCTAGGTCTTGGAAGTTGGTAGAGGCAGGCTCGGCGTAGTGACACAGGTTGGCCGCCTGAGGGTGCCCCAGTCCTGCTCGCGGAGCCTGGAGACAGTGGGAAGCCTTGGAAACGAATGTCAGGCTCAGACTCCTAGAACCAGAGAACGTTGAGAATAGAGCATCATAGAAGGCTGAGAACAAAGCCCCTTAGAACGTAGAACAAAGGCCCCTGGAATGGAAGAATGATGAGCATACAACCTCCTAGCACCTGGGAGACAAAAGCTGCTTAGACTCTCTTCTGGTCAAAGCATAGAATCTTCCACCCAGGGTCTTATAATTCCAGAATTTGGAATGCAATGGATCTCAGACTCTTAGCAGCAAGACCGGCTACATATTTGGCCTAGTGCAAAGTGAAAATAAGGGGCCCCATGCTCAAAAACTAAAAATTTCAAGACAGCAATTGCAGAACATTCAACCAAGCGCGAAGACCCTTCTAAGCGGATTCCAAGCCGGTGAAGCCGGCCCTACGTAGAAACAATTTTATCGGAGGACGTCCGTCTGGTTTTACAGCTGAGTGTCTGGGAAGGCTTCTTGGAAGAGGAGGCGAAGTCAGGGCTCGACCCCCTAACCCTTTTCTCCCCCTGCGCAGCCTCAGAAGCTGAAGGCTGGGCGGGGTGGGGGGATAGGAGCAGCTGCCAAACTGTCACGTGGACCAATTCCCTATTTATAGATCACCCGTCCCCTCGCGCCGGACAGTCCAATGGTAGCCAGAGCTCGCCCGCAAAAGGGTGGAACCTGCTGCAAGACCGGCCAGACACAGACCAATGGCATTGAAGCAAGGGCGGGCTTGTTTCATTGTGACGCGTAGAGGGGCGAGGCCAGGGCCCCGAGGCAGTTGCTCGGAGGGGGCGTGGCGAGCGGAGTGAGTAGGCAGTTGCGAGCATGCGTCGTGTTGGGCGGTGCGGTTGCACGGCCGAGCGTCTCCGTCGGGGAGGTTATTCGCCAATAGGCGGCAGTTGCTCGGTAGCCGGGGGCGTGGCCATGCAGATAAGGCGCGGGTGGGCGGCCCAATGGGCGGGCGCCTATGCAGATGAGACGGTGACAGCCCGGCCAGCGGGCGGGCAGGCTGCTGGGGCGGGGAGGTGGGACCGGGAGAGGGGTGGCCGCGGGGCCCGGCCGGGCTGGGGCGGGGGGCTGCAGCCATGATCCGGGCCTTCTCGTTCCCGGTGAGCCCTGAGCGGGGACGGCTGCGGGGCTGGCTGGAGGGTAGCCTGGCCGGGCTCTGCGAGTTACACTGGCTCCGGGAGAGGCAGGAGTACCGCGTGCAGCAGGCGCTGCGGCTGGCCCAGCCCGGAATGGGGGGCGCCGAGGCCGAGGACGAGGAGGACGCTGATGAGGATGAAGATGCGGCGGCGGCGCGCCGGGCCGCAGCAGCCCTGGAGGAGCAGCTGGTAAGGGGCCGCCTGTCCGTCCGTCCCTCCACCCCCGTCTGTCTGTCTGTCTGCCTCAGTTGGATGCTCAGACACCCGGGCGGGGGGGGGGTGTTGGGGACCCGGGTAGGCAGGGAGTGAGAAAGGACAGGGGGTGGGGCTGGAGACCCCGGAGTTCCGGCGGCGGGCCGGACCTGGCCTCCCCGCCCCCAAATCGGGGGAGGGGAAACTGCATCGCCCCCACTGGGGCCTCGTGAGAAACAGGCCCCATCCGTTACACCCCTTCCCCAAAGATAATCCTTCTGGGCGCCAAGTATGTGCCAAACCCGGGACCGGGTACTTTGCAGGCGTTGTCTTCTTGCAGCTTGGGAAACAGGGGGTGATAGTCCCCATTTAACATAGAGAGAAATTGAGGCTCAGAGAGAGCAAGCGACTCACCCAAGGTCACACAGCCAGGCTCCAAACATGCCCTTATCTGGGCCCCGCCACAGGGCTCCATCTTCCCTAAGTCCTGGTGTGCTTGGAGATCTCTGGAGAGGGCGGGGTGGGAGGAGGGGAATCTGAGGGCCTCCAGAGGGAGGGACCACTGCTGAGAGAAAGCTCACAGTCCCTGAGGACCCCCCACTGGGCTCTTGACCCTTTGATGACGCTTCCCTTGCTTCCTAGATGGCCCCAGCTCTCCTTGACCCAAGGGGAGGCAGGTCGAGGCAGCGCCTGGGGGAGACTTCTGGCCTCTGGGTGTTCTCATGGTGGAAGATGGACAGAGGTCTCCGGAATGACTTGAGGAGGCCCATGCCTCTCCCCTTTCTATGTCATTCCTTGAGTCTCCCGACCTCATGCCGGGGTTCTGTCACTGTCTCCGTCCTGCCACATCCCTGTGACTTTCTGTGTCTGCTTCTCTTTCTTCATCCTGTCTCTCTGTCTCTGTGATCTCGGCGTCCCTCTGCGTCTGTCTCCGTGGCCTTCCCTTCCTGCCTGTCTGCACCTCGCTCTCTTCTTCTTGCCCGACGTCCCAGGCTCAGTCTCTCTTCCCCTCCCCCCAGCCCGCACACCCTGGCTCCACCGCAGATCCCCATCCCCAAGCCTGTGTGTGGCCAGAGCTTCCCGTTTCGGGAAACCTGAGCCGAGGTGGCAGTGGAGGGGGCTCTCCCCGCCGCTGACCTCGACTGCCCTCTCCCCAGATGGGGACTGGGGAGGAAGACTGAAGCCAGACTCCCGGGGCTGCACGCCCGGCCCCTCCCCCTCTCAGGAGTGGGACCCCCCCCTGCACATTCTTTTCTGGAAACAGAAACAGCTGTGGGAGTCCCCACCCCCTCCCAAAGTTGGAGACGGATTGTGGGGGCCTTCGCTAGCTCCCCCCACCCCAAGCTGGCTCGGCTTGGAAGGCGCTTTCCATCCTGACAAGGAGAAAGCGAGGCATGAGGATGGGGTAGCTGTGGGTAGCTGTGTCCTCTCCCGCTCTGCCTTTGGTCTCTCCCCTTTTCACCCTTCACCTTCCCCATCTCTGCCCTTCAGTCTCCCTCTCCTCGGTCCCTCTGTCCCCTCCTCCCCCCCAGCCCTCTGTCCTCCCGGCATGAGATGGTAGTGGAGAGGCCTGTCCCCCCCACCCCCCAGTCTCTAGGCAAAGCTTGTCCCAGCATCAGGGAGGAGGCGGTGGCAGGCGGGGGGAGGAGGAGGAGCAGTGAAGCGCTAAATATAAACTTCTCTAGTGCTGGGGGTTCCTGGGTCCCTCTGAAGAGCGGGTGAGGGCTTCTTCTGATCCCCCAGCCCTTGTCTTATGACTTACCCCCCACCCCCAGCCCCTGCCAGGAATACACTTCCTTCAAGGCAAGAAAGACGGAAGCCAGACTTGATTTCTTTCTAATAGGAATGATGGGAATACCAGGTAAAGATCAGGGGTGTTGCAGAGAAGAGAGGCAGGAATCCTGGGTGAGGACAGGGGCTCCCTGGGTCCTGCTTGTCCTCAAGAAGGAAAAAGGTCCTTTTCAGCAAGAAGAATTTAAGTCAGACTTGCGGAAGGACTTCCTAATAGAGATAAATGGGCATTGGATACCAATGAGGGGCACGTGAGGGGAGAAACAAGGGAAGTTTGGGCAAAGGGGTCTCCAGGGGTCCTAACCGAACTCTTATTAAGCCTGCAGAGAAAGGATGAGGGGCACCGTAGGGAGGCAGGGAGCCAGACTCAGGCCAAGGACTTTCTAATCTTTTAAAGATTCATCCTTTTGCAACTGGAAGGAAAGAGGCCAGACTTGCAAATAGAGGGGTGTAGACTTGGAATATTTTCGGGGGGGTGCCTAGGCGCTGGAGAGGATGAGGCATCTCCTGTCTGTCTCCTTAATTTCTGCTCTTCCTTGTAATGGAAGAACCGGAATTAGACTTGGCAGAACTTACCGAAAAGTCCATCCTTTCGCGTTTATTTATATATTTGTAAATGATATATTTATTTATTCATTTATTTTTAGAGACAAAGTCTCCCAGGCTGAAGTGCAGTGGCGCAATCATAGCTCACTGCAGCCTCTAACTCCTGGCCTCAAGCAGTCCTCCTGCCTCAGCCTCCCAAGAGGCTAGGACTACAGGTGCATGCCACCACACTTGGCTAATTTTTTTTTTTTTTTTTTTTTTTTTTTTAAGATATGAGGTCTTGCTATGTTGTTCAGGCTGGTCTCCAACTCCTGGGCTCAAGCAAACCTCTTGCCTCAGCCTCTCACAGCACTAGGATTGCAGGTGTGAGCTACTGTACCTGGCCTTTATTTGTTAATTGAGACAGAATCTTGCTGTGTCACCCAGGCTGGAGTGCAATGGCATGATCTCAGCTCACTGCAACGTCCACCTCCTAGGTTCAAGTGATTCTCGGCCCACTGCAACCTCCACCTCCTGGATTCAAGCGATTCTCCTGTCTCAACCTCCCAAGGAGCTGGAATTACAGGCATGCACCATCACCCCTGGCTAATTTTTGTATTTTTAGTAGAGATGGGTTTTCACCATGTTGGCCAGGCTGGTCTTGAATTCCTGGCCTCAAGTGATCCTCCCACCTTGGCCTCGCAAAGTTGTTGGGATTACAGGCATGAGCCACTGTGCCCGACTCCTACATTTATTTTTAATTAAACAATGGAAACATTTTCTATTTTCCTTGTAAGAAATTCATAGCCTTCCTGTAATCATACAAACTGGCATTTATTATGTGTCAAAAGAAACTCATTTAATCCTCACAATAACCTCCAGGAGATGGTGTGCTATGATGCCCAGTTATAGATAAGGAAACTGAAGCCCAGAGAGGTAAAGCCACCCACCCAAGGTCACACAGCTGGGGAGCAGCAGAGCTTAATGTGATGCCAAGTCATGCCTCCTTAAACATTTCCTTCTACCATCCAGTCCCCCCATTCCTCCCTGGAGCCCCTAAATCCAATCTTTCCTCTGAGGTCACCATCATTGTCACCTTACTGTCACCTCCCAGACCTCTTCCAACATATCTCCTAACAGAAACTGTTTAGATACCCAAAAATATGGAGCTTTTGTCAAAGCTTTGCATTTTACAAATTCTAGTTTCTTGGGTGAGGTCCCAGAGACTATGCCAGTCAAAGTGTGGCCCCCTGGCCAGCAGTACCACATCACAAGGAACTTGTTAGCCATATAACTACTTGGGCCCGACTGCAGGCTGAAATCGAAAGCTCTGGGAATGGGACTCAGTCATTTGGGTTTTCACAAGCCCTCCAGGTTATTCTGAGTCACTCCTATATATATTCTGCACTTTTCTCTTTCTGCTCAATGCTATATCTTGGTAATGATTCTATATAGAAATTTGACTCATTCCATTTCAACAGCTGTATAGTATTCCATTGTATCCATTCATTCCTTCATCTAATAGTTCTTTTTAAAAAATAGACAGCTGGGTGCAGTGGCTCATGCCTGTAATCCCAGCGCTTCAAGAGACCAAGGCGGGAGGACTGCTTGAGCCCAGGAGTTTGAGACAAGCCTGTGCAACACAGGGAGACCCTGTCTCTCCAAAAAAATACAAAAACTAGCGGGGCGTGGTGGCACGCGCCTGTAGTCCCAGCTACTTGGGAGGCTGAGGTAGTAGGATCACCTGAGCCCAGGAGGTGAAGTTTGCAGTGAGCCGTAATTGTGCCACTGCAGTCCAGCCTGGTGAGACAGTGAGATCTTGTCTCAAAAATAAAATAAAAAATACCAGGCACAGTGGCTCACGCATGTAATCCCAGCACTTTGGGAGGCTGAGGTAGGCGGATGACTTGTGGTCAGGAGTTCGAGACCAACCTGGCCAACATGATGAAACCCTGTCTCTACTAAAAATACAAAAATTAGCCAAGTGAGGTGGGACATGCTTGTAATCCCAGCTACTTGGGAGGCTGAGGCAAAAAAAAAAAAAAAAATCACTTGAACCTGGGAGGCGGAGGCTGCACCACTGCACTCCAGCCTGGGCAGCAGAGCTAGATTCTGTCTCAAAAATAAATAAATAAATAAATTTCATATATATATATATGGGGAGAGAGACTGGGTCTCACTATGTCGCCTAGGCTGGTCTCGAACTCTTGGCCTCAAGCGATCCTCCCACCTTGGCACTCCCAGAGTGCTGGAATGACAGGCATAAGCCACCACACCCAGCCCATTAAGTATTTCCTGAGCACCCACTTTGTGCCAGGCACAGTTCTAGGCACTGGGTGGGGGTACACCTGTGAGCAAAACAGACAGAAATCTCTGCATTCCTAGGGCTGACATTCTAGTCAGAGATTCAACAAACGAATGACACTTTGATGTATTATTTTATTTTATTTTAATTGTTTTTGGAGACGAAGTCTCATTGTTGCCCAGGCTGGAGTGCAGTGGTGTGATCTCGGCTCACTGCGAGCTCCGCCTCCCTGGTTCAAGCAATTCTCCTGCTTCAGCCTCCTGGGTAGCTGGGATTACAGGCGCGCACCACCACACCCGGCTATTTTTTGTATTTTTAGTAGAGACAGGGTTTCACCATGTTGGTCAGGCTGGTCTTGAACTCCTGAAATCAAGTGATCCTCCCTGCCTCGGCCTCCCAATGTGCTGGGATTACAGGCGTGAGCCACCAAGCCCGGCCCAATGTATAATTTTAAATCAAGAGGTCATTCCTGATACGTAGAAAAACCTCGAAAAGCAGGGCAACAGGGTGCACAATGACAGGGGAGCTATTTTGGAAAGGTGTCAGAGAAGAGATCGGGTCACCAAAGACCTGAATGAAGCAAGGAAGGTATGTGGGGGAAACATTCTCCCGAGGTAGGCGCATCCGTGGTATGTTCGAGGGACGGTGGCGAGGCCAGGCGTGGCTAGAGGGGAGTGAGTATTGCCAGTGATTTGTGGGGGACATGACATGGGGGACATGGGCGGTCTGACAGATTTTTTTAGCTACTTCCTGATGCCGCACAATTCGGCTGCTTTTTTGAGTTCCGCTCAAAGATGACTTCACCGTGAGCGTCTCAACATGCCCAGGGCAGGAGCCCAAAGTAGAACGATTTGTTGACCTTCCTCGAATAAACAGGCCCAGATGGGGGTTTCTGTTCTCGGGGGAGGGGAGAGGCTGGGCCCTGGAGAGACTGGGACTGGGGGGGGGGGTTGTGGCTGCCGGGGAGCCGGCCAGTCTTTCTGCCCTAAATAGGCAGGGCTGGGTGCCTGCCCTCCTAAACCCTCCTCCCTACTTCCCTCCCTCCTGCCGTCCAGACAAGCCGCTTTTGTCTGAGGGTCAGCCGTCAGCCTGAGGCTGCCTGCTGCTACCCAGCCTCACTCAGACCCATGTGAGGCTTCTTCTGCCTCTGACCCTCTCTTTTCTAAAATGAGGTTAAGTCCTAATGTCCTGGAGACCCCATCCGTGTTGCTTCAGCCCTTACGCCACCTCTTGTCACGGTCACTCCCCTAAAAGGGCTTTCACCTTCATTAATTCACATCTGATGAGAAGTGCTCTTTTCCCCAGCAAGAAGCACCCGGGGTAGACTAATGGAAATTTCTTTTCCTTTTTTTCTTTTTTTTTTTTTAGACAGAGTCTGACTCTGTTGCCTAGGCTGGAGTGCAATGGCGCAATCTCGGCTCACTGCAACCTCTGCCTTCTGTGTTCAAGCAATCCTCCCGTGTCAGCCTCTCAAGTAGCTGGGACTACAGGTGCAAACCACCATGCCCCGCTAGTTTTTGTATTTTTAGTGGAGACGAGGTTTCACCATATTGGCCAGTCTGGTTCCAACTCCAGATCTCATGTGATCCGCCCGCCTCAGCCTCCCAAAGTGCTGGGATTACAGGCGTGAGCCCCTGCGCCCGGCCTGACTCCTGGAAATTTCTTATGGCGATAAGGAACGGTAGACCCACTGGAGCTTCCTGGTGGGAGTGGACCAAAGGCAGAAGGAGGATGTGGTCTCTGGGGCAAAGGAACGCGCTGGGGATGGCTGCTGCAGTACCAGTAAGGCTAGACTCACAGGACTGTCTAGGAGGCTTGGAGGTTCTTTCTGAAGGGAGAGCAAAGAGGTATAGTGGTCAGTCTGTTTTATCCATATTGGGGAAAGAGGCAATCTGCAGCAGGAGGGACTTAAGGAAGACTCACAAAAGGACCTTCTGTTGGTGATAAGGGGCAATGGGTGTAGCTGAAAAAAAAGGTCAAAGACAGGGAAAGCCTGGGCGAAGTGGCTCAAACCTGTAATCCTGGGACTTTGGGAGGCCGAGGCGGGTGGATCACCTGAGATCAGGAGTTCAAGACCAGCCTGGGCAACATGGTGAAACCCTACCTCTACTGAAAACACAAAAATTATCTGGGCATGGTGGTGGGCGCCTGTAATCCCAGCTACTCAGGAGGCTGAGGTGGGAGGATTGCCTGATGCCAGGAGGTAGAGGCTGTGGTGAGCTGGGATCATGCCACTGCCCTCCAGCCTGGGCGACAGAGTGAGACCCTGTCTCAAAATAAATAAATAAGTAAACAAACAAACAAATAAAGTAAAAAAAGAAAAACTTGGAGAAGAAGGCAGACCTATGACTAAGGGATCTGGGGGTCATGGACACCACCTTTTAGTAGTAAACTGTCCTTACAACAATCCCTCAAGTTAGACTCAAGGAGGGACATTCTAATCGGGGTTGAGGGGCTCTGAGCACAAATTGGAGGGAGCAACTGGTAAAGAGAGGGCAAGAGATGGGGGTTTTCTGAGGCCTCATCACACCTAAGAGGGAATGAGATGAGGCTGCAGCATGAAGGACTGGAGTTAGACAGTCAGAAGGACTTTCTAATGGGGATGAAGGGACGGAGATCTTGAGGGGTTCCTGGGATTCAGGTACTGCTTTTATCCTTTTGAAGCAAGAGCCTCATTGTCAAAGTGAAACTCTGCCCATAAGCTCATGGAATAGGGGACCAGTTGGCAGAGGACTGGGGGCCTTCTGACCATCCTTCTCTCCCTATACCTTCAGGAGGCCCTGCCTGGGCTCGTCTGGGACCTGGGCCAGCAGCTGGGAGACCTGAGCCTGGAGTCTGGGGGCCTGGAACAGGAGAGCGGGCGCAGCTCGGGTGAGCATGGAGAGAGGGGTAGGGTCTGCCTGGGATGCCTCCATGTTCCCTGTATCCCTATTTCTCAGGCCCATGCCTCTCCCCATGCCATCTCCTCCTTTCCCCAGCCCTGGTTTTCCCACCCAAACCCCCTGAAGTCTTTGCTTCTCTCGGAAATTCAGGCTTCTATGAAGATCCCAGCTCCACGGGAGGTCCAGATTCACCACCCTCAACCTTCTGTGGGGACAGTGGCTTCTCTGGATCCAGCTCCTATGGTCGCCTAGGTCCCTCTGAGCCCCGGGGTATCTATGCCAGCGAGAGGCCCAAGTCCCTAGGTAAGGTGGGTGAGGGTGGGACCCTGGGACCAGGGAAAGGACAGTAAGAGTACGGTTGTGGGCCCAGACTTCCGAATCGGGCCTGGATTCCAATTCCTGGTGCGACATTTCCTTTTCACATGATTATGAGCAGGTCTCTTATTTCTGGGCCTCTGTGTTTCCATCTGTTAAAATGAAATATGGCTGGGTGTGGTGGTTCACGCCTGTAATCCCAGCACTTTGGGAGGTGGGCAGATCACTTGAGGCCAGGAGATCCAGACAACCTGGCCAACAGAGTGAAACCCCGTCTATATAAAAATTAGCTGGGCATGGTAGCGAACACCTGTAATTCCAGTGACTTGGGAGGCTGAGGTGGGAGGATCGCTTGAACCTGGGAGGTGGAGGTTGCAGTGAGCCAAGATTGCGCCACTGCCCTCCAGTCTGGGTGACAGAGCAAGAGTCTGTCTCAAAATAAGTAAATAAATAGGCTGGGCACACTGGCTCTTGCCTGTAATCCCAACACTTTGGGAGGCCAAAGCAGGTGGACCATCTGAGGTCAGGAGTTCGAGACCAACCTGACCAATATGGTAAAACCCTGTCTCTACTAAAACTACAAAAATTAGCTGGGCGTGATGGCCTGTGCCTGTAGTCCCAGATACTCTGAAGGCTGAGACTGGAGAATTGCTTGAACCCGGAAGTGGAGGTTGCAGTGAGCCAAGATGGAGCCACCGCACTCTAGCCAGGGTGACAGAGTGAGACTCCGTCTCAAAAATATTATAAATAAATAAATAAATAAAATAAATAAATTAAATGGGATAATAACAGTGCCTCAATAGCCAGGCATTGTGGCATATGCCTGTAGTCCCAGTTACTTGTGAGGCTGAGGCAGGAGAATTGCTAGAACCTGGGAGGCAGACGTTGCAGTGAGCTGAGATGGTGTCACTGCACTCCAGCCTGGGTGACAGAGCAAGACTCTGCCTCAAAAAAAAAAAAAAAAAAAACCAACCAAACACACACACACACACACACACACACACACACACACACAGTGCCCGCCCCAAGGGGATATTTTTGAATATTCAGTGAGCCTCTGCTCTAAGGCATTGGACTTGGAGCATGGCAGTCACTGGTAAACAGGAACTGCTGTCTTTCATTCATACAAGTAAGTTTTTGAGCCTCCACTATGTGCTATCTAGCAGTATCCAAGGAGCAATGAACAAAATGAACACTAATGAACAAAACAGGCAAATCCCTGCCCTCAGGAAACTGCCAGCCTATCGGAGGAATAAATAAAATACAGGATAAATGGCCGGGCGTGGTAGCTCACGCCTGTAATCCCAGCACTTTGGGAGGCCGAGGTGGGTGGATCACGAGGTCAGGAGATCCAGACTAGCCTGACCAACATGGTGAAACCCCGTCCCTACAAAAAATACAAAAATTAGCTGGGCGTGGTGGTGGGCGCCTGTAATCCCAGCTACTCAGGAGGTTGAGGCAGGAGAACTGCTTGAACCCAGGCGGCAGAGGTTGCAGTGAGCTGAGATCATGCCACTGCACTCCAGCCTGGGCGACAAAGTGAGACCTCGTCTTAAAAAAAAAAAAAAAAAAAAAGGGTTAATAAGCAAAATATCTAGGGTACGAGATAATGCCATGTGCTATAACAAGAAATAAGCCCGGGAAAGGGACTCAGAAGTGTCCCTTTGAGTTTGGGGAAGGAAGTGCAATTTTAGAAAATAAGGCCAGGGAGGGCCTCACTGAGACTGTAACATTTGAGCTGTGCCCTGAACTAAGTGAGGGAGTGGACCTAACAGATATCCAGGAGGAAGGGCATTCCGGGAATCTGGAATCTGGAATGGGAAGCACAAAGGCTCTGAGGCCAGAATGTGACTGGTGTGTGATTTCAGGAGGCCAGTGTGGCTGGAGTCCTATAAATAAGAGGAGAAGGGTCAGCCCGGTGGCTCATGCCTATAATCCCAGCACTTTAGGAGGCTGAGGCAGGAGGATTATTTGAGCCTGGGAGTTGGGAGACCAGCCTGGGCAACACAATGAGACCCCATTCCCCCAAAAATGAGCAGGGCATGGTGGTGCGTTCTTGTAGTCCCAGCTGCTCAGGAAGATAAGGCGGCAGGATCCCTTGAGCCCAGGTGATGGAGACTGCAGTGAGCTATGATCACGCCACTGCACTCCAGCCTGGGTGACAAGAGCAAGCAAGAACCTGTCAAAAAAGAAAGAAAGGAAAGAGAAGGAAGGAAGGAAGGAGGGAGGGAGGCAGGGAGGGAGGGAGGGAGGGAGGAAGGAAAGAAAGAGAAAGAAAGAAAGAAAGAAAAAGAAAGAAAGAAAGAAAGAGAAAGAAAGAAAAAGAAAGAAAGAGAGAGAGAAAGAAAGAAAGAAAGAAAGAAAGAAAGAAAGAAAGAAAGAAAGAAAGAAAGAAAGAAAGAAAAAGAAAGAGAAAGAAAGAAAGAGTAAGATGTTGTGAGAGTGGGAGAGGCAGAGTCATTGTCTGGACAAGTCACGCAGGGTCTTGTAGGACCCTGTAAAGATTTTATTATGAATTTTACAGGAAGGAAGGTGTGAGAGCAGGGTTTTTGCTGAGATGGGCATGGAAGGGAGGGAGGCAACCCCCCCCCCCTTCCAGGCTGGATGGGAAATGGGAAAGGACTTTGAGAGCCCCTCCACTCTCTTCCTTTTTTTTTTTTCTTTTGGCCTTCCTTCCCTAGGAGACGCCAGTCCCAGCGCTCCGGAGATGGTGGGCGCGCGGGCAGCAGTGCCGCGGTCCTTCTCAGCGCCCTACCCGACGGCAGGGGGGTCCGCCGGCCCGGAGGCCTGCTCCTCGGCGGAGCGGCGGGCCCGCGCCGGGCCCTTTCTGACGCCCAGCCCCCTGCACGCCGTGGCTATGCGCAGCCCGCGACCCTGCAGCCGCCCTCCCACCGACTCGCCCGACGCGGGGGGCGCGGGGCGACCCCTGGACGGCTACATCTCGGCGCTCCTGCGCAGGCGCCGCCGCCGGGGGGCGGGCCAGCCCCGGACCAGTCCCGGGGGCGCGGACGGCGGCCCGCGGCGCCAGAACAGCGTGCGTCAGCGGCCGCCCGACGCGTCTCCGCCCCCCGGCAGCGCGCGGCCCGCGCGGGAGCCTTCGGTGGAGCGCGTCGGGGGCCACCCCACCAGCCCTGCCCCCTTGAGCCGCGCCTGGGCGTCGTCGTGGGAGTCGGAGGCTGCACCCGAGCCGGCTGCGCCTCCCGCTGCCCCCTCGCCCCCCGACAGCCCGGCCGAGGGCCGCTTGGTGAAGGCGCAGTACATCCCGGGCGCCCAGGCGGCCACCCGAGGCCTCCCCGGTCGCGCCGCCCGCCGCAAACCACCGCCACTGACCCGCGGCCGCAGCGTGGAGCAGTCACCGCCCCGGGAGCGTCCCCGGGCCGCCGGCCGCCGTGGACGCATGACGGAGGCCTCGGGCCGCCGGGGCTCGCCCAGGGCCCGCAAGGCCTCGCGCTCTCAGTCCGAGACCAGCCTGCTGGGCCGCGCCTCCGCGGTCCCGTCCGGGCCCCCCAAGTACCCCACGGCGGAGCGGGAAGAGCCTCGGCCGCCACGGCCACGCCGCGGCCCAGCGCCCACGCTGGCGGCCCAGGCCGCAGGGTCCTGCCGTCGCTGGCGCTCCACTGCGGAGATCGACGCTGCTGATGGGCGCCGCGTGCGGCCCCGAGCCCCGGCGGCGCGTGTTCCCGGCTCCGGCCCGTCCCCGTCAGCTCCCCAGCGTCGTCTGCTCTACGGCTGCGCGGGCAGCGACTCAGAGTGCTCGGCCGGGCGCCTGGGGCCCCTGGGACGCCGGGGGCCTCCGGGAGGCGTCGGCGGGGGTTACGGGGAGAGCGAATCGAGCGCCAGCGAGGGAGAGTCACCTGCCTTCAGCTCTGCCTCCAGCGACTCAGACGGCAGCGGTGGCCTCGTGTGGCCGCAGCAGCTGGTGGCGGCCACTGCGGCCTCCGGGCCCGGGGGCGGAGCAGGTGCAGGGGCGCCCGCCGGCCCCGCCAAAGTCTTCGTGAAGATCAAGGCTTCCCACGCGCTCAAGAAAAAGATACTGCGTTTCCGTTCGGGTTCTCTCAAGGTCATGACTACAGTGTGAGTTTGGGGATTTGCTTGGGCTCCCCCTTCATGGCCTCTGCACCTCCACACTCTCAACCACTGACCCTTCCACATCTACCTTCCAAAGACCATCGTTTTCTCTGCTTCCAAAGACCCCCCCACTGTCCCCACTCCTAGCAGTCTTGGTTGAAAAGGCTCCCCCACCACTAGCGAGAGGAATGGGGAGGAGCCCTGTTTGACCCAGTTCAGCTTCTAGCTTGGAAGTCCTTGGGCAAGACAGTTCCCCTTCTCTGGGCGTCACTTTTCTCATCTGTACAGTAAGTGTCCATGTATGCAAAAGGGGTAATTTGGTTTGAATTTCCCCGTTTTAGTTTAGAAGCCTAGTCTGTTTGTTCCCCTTCACCACTCTCTCTCTCATTCCTGATGAGCCCTCTCATTCCTCCTTTCCTTGCCCAGCTATGGCCCCCTCTCATTCACAAAGTGCCCCCTCCATGTCCCTGGACCTTTAAGATATCCCCTTGGCACCCTGGTCAGAGACTCTGTGTCTGACTCAGGTGGTTCCTGCAGAGTGCCCTGGGAAGGGAAGGAGCACTGATTTGGGGGTTTTGAGGGTCAAGTAGGGGTTGGCAACACCTGGAAAGAAGGACTCTTTCACCTCGATTCCTGGACAATTATGGAGGATTCGGAGGTAGAAGAGGGGAAGGAAGATGGTTTCTATCTCATACCCCCCACTCCCTGTAAGAGGGAATGGGGGAAGCCTGATGACCCTCAGCTGTTCCAATCTAGTATTTTTTTTTCTTTTTTAAAATTACTGTATTTATTATGACGATGGTGACTCCCCAGTGCAAAGGGGGGCCAGATTCTGTGTGTTTCTCTAACCTCTTTGTAAATAAATGCACAGTGTTACATATATGGTGGACTCTCATTGAATGATTAAGTGGGAGAAATGCTCTTTTTCCTTTGGACTAACATTTATTGAGCAACTTCTGTTTGCTGTGGATATGGCAGTTTCCAGGGAGGCCCCAGGGTGAATCTCAGCATCATCTTCCTACCATTGGCTATTTTACATCAAGGAATCTAGCCTTTGATTGGGTTATGTTTGGTCATAAATATGATTTCAGGCGGGATATGACGGCTCATGCCTGTAATCCCAGCACTTTGGGAAGTGGAGGTAGGGGGATCGCTTGAGCCCAGGAGTTCAAGACCAGCTTGGGAAACATGGTAAAACCCCATCTCTACAGAAAATACAAAAATTAGCCAGGCATGGTAGGTCATTCTTGTAGTCCCAACTACTCAGGAGGCTGAGGTGGGACAATCACTTGAGACTGGGAGGCCTAGGCTGCAGTGAGCCATGATTGTGCCACTGCACGCCAGCCAGGATGACAAGCAAGACTGTTTCAAAAAACAAAAGGCCGGGCGCGGTGGCTCAAGCCTGTAATCCCAGCACTTTGGGAGGCCGAGACGGGCGGATCACGAGGTCAGGAGATCGAGACCATCCTGGCTAACACGGTGAAACCCCGTCTCTGCTAAAAAATACAAAAAACTAGCCGGGCGCGGTGGCGGGCGCCTGTAGTCCCAACTACTCGGGAGGCTGAGGCAGGAGAATAGCGTGAACCCGGGAGGCGGAGCTTGCAGTGAGCTGAGATCCGGCCACTGCACTCCAGCCTGGGCGGCAGAGCCAGACTCTGTCTCAAAAAAAAAAAAAAAAAGGCCGGGCGCGGTGGCTCACGCCTGTAATCCCAGCACTTTGGGAGGCCGAGGCGGGCGGATCACGAGGTCAGGAGATCGAGACCATCCTGGCTAACACGGTGAAACCCCGTCTCTACTAAAAATACAAAACACTAGCCGGGCGTGGTGGCAGCGCCTGTAGTCCCAGCTAGTCGGGAGGCTGAGGCAGGAGAATGGCGTGAACCCGGGAGGCGGAGCTTGCAGTGAGCTGAGATCGCGCCACTGCACTCCAGCTTGGGCGACAGAGCGAGACTCCGTCTCAAAAAAAAAAAAAAAAAAAAAAACCAAACAAAAAATATGGTTTCCCAAAAATGGGAACAGAATAGGAGACAGTCCCTAAATCCCCTCTCTCACAGTTATCATAATCAGCTGTTTATGTGCATCCTCCCATGTTTCTTTATGTGTTTGCATACATATATGAATCTAAATAACTATATAAATATATATGTATGAATATACATATAGTTATATGTGTAATATATGTGTGAAATTGTATATTTACATAAATTGAACTATATGTATGCAGTGTTTATCACTGTGTGAAATCATCTGTGCCTGGAGATTTCTTTATGGGGAGGGTTTAAATTAAGGATTGAATTTGATAGTTACAGTACTATTTAGGTTTTCTATTTTTTCTTGTGTCAGTTTTGCTAGGCCCTATTCATCTAAGAATTTGTCCATTTTGTCTAAATCTACTTATTTTTTCTTTTATTTTTTGAGATGGGGTCTTGCTGTATTACCCAGGCTGGAGAGCAGTGGTGTGATCGTGACTCACTGCAGCATCAACCCCTCAGGCTCAAACAGTCCTCCCACTTCAGCCTCCTGAGTAGCTGGGACCACAGGTACTTACCACCCTGCCCAGCTATTTTTAAACTTTTTGTAGAGATAGGGTCTCCAGGCCGGGCGCGGTGGCTCAAGCCTGTAATCCCAGCACTTTGGGAGGCCGAGACGGGCAGATCACGAGGTCAGGAGATCGAGACCATCCTGGCTAACACGGTGAAACCCCGTCTCTACTAAAAAATACAAAAAACTAGCCGGGCGAGGTGGCGGGCGCCTGTAGTCCCAGCTACTCGGGAGGCTGAGGCAGGAGAATGGCGTAAACCCGGGAGGCGGAGCTTGCAGTGAGCCGAGATCGCGCCACTGCACTCCAGCCTGGGTGACAGAGCCAGACTCTGTCTCAAAAAAAAAAAAAAAAAGAGAGGGTCTCCTTATGTTGCCCAGGCTGGTCTTGAACTTGTAGGCTGAAGTGATCCTCCTGCCTTGGCCTCCCAAAATGTTAGGATTACAGATGTGAGCCACCGTGTCTGGCTCATTTCATCTAAATTTAGGTAACATTATCCTATCACTATATTATTATTGATAGGTGCATATAAGACTATTATGGCTAGGCGAAGTGGCTCATACCTGTAATCCCAGCACCCTGGGAGGCTGAGGCAGGTGAATCACCTGAGGTCAGGAGATCGAGACCAGCCTGGCCAACATGGCAAAACCCTGTCTCTACTAAAAATACAAAAATGAACCGGGCGTGGTGGCATGTGCCTATAGTCCCAGCTACTCGGAAGGCTGAGACAGAAGAATCGCTTGAACCTGGGACGTGTAGGTTGTAGCGATTGCACTCCAGCCTGGGTGACAGAGTGAGACTCCATCTCAAAAGAAAAAAAAAGAATAAAATTACAAACTCCCCTCCTTCACCACCCCACCCAATCCCCTCATATCTCTGCTCAGTTTTTCCCTATAGTCATCACATTTAGCAAACTATAGAATGTATATATTATGGTACCACCACCACCACCCCTGCCCCCAGCTTCCCTCCATTATGGGGATTCTCATAATCTAACCCTATATTTCAGCTCTCCAATTATTTTGCTATTGTGAATCTTGCTACAGTAATATCCTTATATTTGCCTCTTTGTGCATATCTGTGTGTATTTTTGTAGGACCCATTCCTAGAAATAGAGTTGCTTGGTCATTAACAGTATGCCCATGTAAGAACTTTTAATGGAAACTGCCACACTTCCTTCCATTAGCACTGCCCCCAACTGACATTTCTAACAGCAGTTTTTCAGATGTCTGTTTTCTACCCCTTCACCAAACGATAGATGCTATTGATCATTTTCATTTTGCAAATCTTATGGGGAGAAACTGTGTTCTGTTTTAATTAGCACATTTCCTCCCTTTTCCTTGATGTAACACATAGTTTTGTGTGCTTATTGGCTCTTGTATTTCCTCTTATGTGAATTGCCTTTTTACTCTCTTCCTTCCTTCTTTACTTCCTTCCTTCCTTCCTTCCTTCCTTCCTTCTTTCCTTCCTTCCTTCCTTCCTTATTTTTTATTATTATTTTTGAGACAGGGTCCTGATCTGTCACCCAGACTGTAGTGCAGTGGTATAGCTCACTGCAGCCTCAAAATCCTGGGCTTTAGCAATCCTCCCACCTCAACCCCCGCAAGCAGCTGGGACTACAGGTGTGCACCACAACGCCTGACTAATTTTCCCATTTTTTGTAGAGATGAACTCTCACTATGTTGCCCAGGCTAGCCTTGAATTCTTGGCTTCAAGCAATCCTTGCACCTTGGCCACCCGAAGTATTAGAATTTCAGGCATGAACCACTGTGCTCATCCTGTTTTATTATTGGGTATGTAAAGTTATGCTCAGTTCTTAGGTGGGTAAATGGAGGCTTAGAGAGGGGCCATTACTTGCCCTGGTCACATAGCAAGGGGAATCCAGGGCTAGGACCCAGCCCCCACCTGATTCCACAGTCAGAAGGATGGGTGTTTGTTGCTGCTTTGACCTTTGAGTCTAGATGGGTAGATCTACCTCCCTTTGAGCTCGGAAAGGGCAGGGACCAGGCCTGCTGTGTTCACCTGTATCTTCAGCACCCAGCCAGGCACTGGGGTTAGAGCAGGGGACAAAACAGAAAGCAAACCCCTGCCCTACGGATCTTCTATGGTGGGGGTAGGGTAAGGGATAAACCTACGTTTTACTTAGAATAATAATGAATAAAAGTTATTTTTAAAAGTTTTCCAGGAAAAGCTATTGCTTGGCAGGCCCTTGGGAACCATTACTCCAACTTCATTCCATAAAACGGGCAATGGAAGTCAGAAAGGAGAAGAGACTTGTCTAGGGCTACACAGGTCACTTAGTGGCCGAAATGGTTCAAGTAAATATGGATGGGCTTTTAAGATTTTAGTGCTTACAAAAAAATAACAGCTAACACTTATTTGAGCACTTATGGCATGCTGGACTCTATTCCCACCACTTTACACACATTGACTCATTTAATCTTTTCCACCTGTATTAGTCTGTTTTCATGCTGCTGATAAAGGCATAACCTGAGACTGGGTAATTTATAAAGAAGAAGAGGCTTCATAGACTCACAGTTCCATGTGGCTGGCGGAGGGGGGCGGGCTCACAATCGTGGTGGAAGGTGAAAGGCACGTCTCACGAGGTCAGGAATTCGAGACTAGCCTGGCCAACGTGGTGAAACCCCATCTCCACTAATAATTTAAAAATTAGCTGGGGGTGGTGGTGGGCACCTGTAATCCCAGCTACTTGGGAGGCTGAGGCAGGAGAATCACTTGAACCTGGGAGGCAGATGTTGTAGTGAACCGAGATCGTGCCACTGGACTGCAGCCTGGGTGACAAGAGCAAAACTCCATCTCAAAAACAAACAAACAAAAATGTCTCTGAAGCTCATAGGTGGCAAAGCCAGGATTCACATTCAGGCAGACTATTTTCAGAGTTCATGGCCTTAGTGCCCTACATGGTCTGTTTGCTGGACCCATGATCTTAAAAAGGATACACCAGGAATGAGTCACAGGGAGGGAAGCTGGGGGCGGGGGTGGTGGTGGTGGTACCATAATATATACATTGTATAGTTTGCTAAAGGTGATGACTATAGGGAAAAACTGAGCAGAGATATGAGGGGATTGGGTGGGGTGGTGAAGCAGGGGAGTTTGTAATTTTATTTGTTATTTTTTGAGATACGGTCTCACTTTGTCACCCAGGCTGGAGTGCAGTGACATAACCATGGCTCACTACAACCTTGACCTCCTGGGTTACAGGGATCCTTCTGCTTCAGCCTCCCGAGTATCTTGGACTACAGGCACACACCACCATGCATGACTAATTTTTAATTTTTTTGTAGAGACAGGGTCTCGCCATGTTGCCCAGGCTGGTCTCCAACTCCTAGTCTCAAGCAATCCTCCTGCCTAAGCCTCCCAAAGTGTTGGGATTACAGGCATGAGCCAGTGTGCCCAGCCAAGGGAGCGTGTAATTTTAAGTAGAGTGATCAAGAATGGTCTAATTGAGAAGTTAGTGGCTTACGCCTATAATCCCAGCACTTTGGGAGGCCAAGGCAGGTAAATCACCTGAGGTCAGGAGTTTGAGACTACCCTGGCCAACATGGGGAAACTCCATCTCTACTAAAAATACAAAAGTTAGCCAGGCGTGGTGGCATATGCCTGTTGTCCCAGCTACTTGGGAGGCTGAGGCAGGATAATTGCTTGTACCCAGGAGGCGGAGGTTGCAGTGAGCCAAGATCGCGCCATTGCACTCCAGCCTGGGTGACAGAGCGAGACTCTGTATTAAAAAAAAAAAAAAAAAAAAAAAAAAAAAAAAAAAAAAAAAGATCTAATTGAGAAGATAACATTTGAACAGAGACCTGTTGACAAAACAGCAAGGAGGCCAGCTGGAGTGGGGAGGTGAAAAGGAGGGGAGGTAGGGACTGTCACATCGTGGGGGCTTCATGGGCCATGGTGGGAATTTTGGTTTTTACTTCCTGGCACCCATGGGAGAATTCTGGGCATAAAAAAGACTTAGTTTTTAAAGTTTTTTTTTTTTGGGGGGGGCGGGGGAGGGTTAATAGCTGTATTGAAATATATTCACCTACCATAAAATTTACCCATGTAAAGTATACAGTTCAATGGTTTTTAATATATTGAATATAAAAGACATTCAGTATTTTAGTGGCCAGGCTTGGTGGCTCATGCCTGGAATCCCAGCACTTTGGGAGGCTGAGGTGGGCAGATCATTTGAGGTCAGGGGTTCAAGACCAGCCTGGCCAACGTGGTGAAGCCCCATGTCTACTAAAAATACAAAAAAAATTAGCTGGGTGTGGTGGTGCACACCTGTAGTCTCAGCTACTCAGGAGGCTGAGGTGGGAGATTCGCTTGAACTCGGGAGGCGGAGGTTGCAGTGAGCCAAGATCGCGCTACTACACTTCAGCCTGGGCGACAGAGCAATACTCAGTCTCAAAAAAAGAAAAAAAAGGTATTTTAGTATATTCACAGAGTTGTGCAAATATCACCACAATGAATTCTAAAACATTTCCATCACCACCTAAAGAAACCGTGCCCCACAGCTGCCATCCTCCAACCTTCCCAGCCCCTGGCATCCAGTAATCTACTTTTGCCTTCTATAGATTTGCTAGTTCTGGACATATCATATAAATGGAATCATACAATATGTGACCTTTAGTGACTGGCTTCTTTCACTTAGCCCAAGTTGGAGAGTAGTGGTGCAATCACAGCTCCCTGTAGCCTCTACCTCCTGGGTTCAGGTGATCCTCCCACCTCAGCCTCCTGGGAAGCTGAGACTGCAGGTACATGCCACCACGCCTGGCTACTTTTTTGATATTTTTTGTAGAGAGAGGGTTTTGCCATGTTATCCAGGCTAGTCTTGAACTTCTGGGCTCAAGCAACTTGCCCGCCTCAGCCTCCCAAAGTGCTGGGGTGACAGGCGTGAGCCACCGTGCCCAGCCAGCATATTATTTCCAACTTTCATCCATGTTGTAGCAGGTATTAGTACTTCATTTCCTTTTATTGACAAATGATTGATAGTCCATTGTCTGGATAGACCACATTCCATTTGTCCATGCATCAGTTGATGAACGTGTGTTGTTTCCACTTTGGGCTATTACGAAAATTGCTTCTGTGAACATTTTTTTATATGATTTTGTATGTTTTTATTGCTCTTGGGTATACACCTAGGAGTGGAATTGCTGGGCCATATGTTAACTCTATGTTTAACCTTTTGAGGAACTGCCAAGTTTTTGTTTTGTTTTGTTTTTTTGAGACAGAGTCTTGCTCTGTCACCCAGGCTGGAATGCAGTGGTGCAATCTTGGCTCGCTGCAACCTTCACCTGCCAGGTTCAAGCGATTCTTCTGCCTCAGCCTCCTAAGTAGCTGGGATCACAGGCGTGTACCACCATGCTCGGCTAATTTTTGCATTTTTAGTAGAGACAGGGTTTCACCATGTTGCCCAGGCTGCTCTTGAACTACTGACCTCAAGTGATCTGCCCACCTCGGCCTCCCAAAGTGCTGGGATTACAGGCATGAGCCTCGGCACCTGGCCTGCCAGGTCGTTTCCTAAAGGGACTTCACCATTTTACATCCCCACCAGCATATGAGGGTTCAGATTGCTCCACATACCCACTTGCTATTATATGGGGACAGTTTGAAACAGGGTCCTTTTGGCTGCTCTGTGGGAAACAGGCTGAGGGGGACAGGGAGAAGATAGGAGGTCAGTGCAGAAGTCACTGTAATAGTCCAAGCAGGAGGGAACGGTGTCTGGACCCAAGTGGGGACAGCGGAGGAAGTGAGAGGGATTGGATTCTGGAGTTGCTTTGAAGATAGAGCTAACAGGATGTCTTGATGGCTGACTCATGGAGTGTGAGAGAAGGATGGGAGTCAAGGATGACCCCAGCCCGGGTGCAGTGGCTCACAGTTCAAGACCAGCCTGAGCAACATAGTGAGACCCTGCCTCTAAAAGAAATAAAAAGTTAAGCAGGGCACAGTGGCTCACGCCTGTAATCCCAGCACTTTGGGAGGCCAAGGCGGGTAGATCACTTGAGGCCAAAGTTTGAGACCAGCCTGGCCATCATGGTGAAATCCCGTCTCTACTAAAAATACAAAAAAGTAGCTGGGTTGGTGGCACATGCCTGTAATCCCAGCTACTCAGGAGGCTGAGGCATGAGAATTGCTTGAGCTTGGGAGGCGGAGGTTGCAGTGAGACAAGATTGCACCACTGTACACCAGCATGGATGACAGAGTGAGACTCTGTCTGAAAAAAAAAAAAAAAAAAAAGCCGTTTGTGGTTGTGCACGCCTGTAGCCCCAGTTACTGGGGAGACTGAGGCAGGAGGATCACTTGAGCCCAGGAGTTCAGGCTGCAGTGAACTATGATTGCACCACTGCACTCCAGCCTGGGCAACAGGCAAGACCCTGTTTCAAAACAACAACAAAAATTCAAAGATTTATCATCACTTGAGATGGGGGTAAGCTTGAAGTAAGAGCGAATGTGGTCGATGGAATCAGCTCAGTATTGGATGCGTTGAGTTTGAGAGACCTTCTAAACGCCCAGGCGGTTGGGTATTGGATTCTGGAATTCACTCTTGCCATTTGTTGATGATTTCTTGAATAAATAACCTCAGAACGGAATCCAAATCCAGGGCCTCAGTTTCATCCTCCTCCAAAAAATGGGGACCGTAATGCCTTCAAGCGCTAAATTGTCATGAGGCTGGGGCACAGGGCAGGGACTGAGGTCATCTGCTGCGGTCTGCAGCTCGGGAAAGGAACGGAGGCTGCGCTCGCGGCAGGCAGTGTCTGTCTGTCCGTCTCCCCCACCCCCCAGCTTCTGGCCGTGGTGGAGGAGCAGGAGGGAAGACTGGATCGTCACCCTGTCTTCCCCCCGCTCTGAGCTGGGTTTCCTCCTCGGGGGCTACCCAGGCCAGACTGCTGATGGAAACCAGCTGCGAGAGGCGCAGAGGCCCGGCACACGCCCAGGCCCCTCCTCGGCGCCGGCGGACCCCGATGGCGGGGCGGGGAGCGCCTTGGCTCCCCTCCCCTCTTCCGCAGCCGGGCCTGGGGCCCTGGCACGTCCGGCGCGCCTGATGCTTTCCAGATGTGGGCTTGATTTCTCTCCTCTATCTGGCTCCGTTGAGCCCGCAAGGGGAGGGGGGAGGGGAGCTAGGGTCCGAGACCCAAATCTCTACCAGGGACTCGGGTCGGGGTCCCCTTCCCGCCCGTCTCCCTTCCCTGTCCAGGCGGTGAAAACCGAGTTAGGGTGGGCTGACCACAGTAAAGACGCTCCTCCCCACCTCCACCTCTTCCTAGGGCTCCCGCCTTGTCCAGGTCCAGAAGGAACCCCAAGCCCCATCCATCGGGACACGCCCCCAGGTACACCGAGGGACACGCCCCTTAGAAACCCCGCCCCGGACCCCTCCCCTTCGGTCGCGCCTCTGCAGGCCCCGCCTCCGTCGTCGGGTCCCCACTGGAAGGCGCCCTCTGCGCATCTCTTTGTCTCTCTGGCCGCCTCTGCCTCCATCTCTGTGTGTCTGTGTCTTCGTCCCTGTCTCTGACTCTGCGTTTCGGCTTGGGTGTCTCTCTCCTACCCCCTGTCTCTCTGTGTCCTGTCTGTCTCTGCCTCTCGTGTCTCTCTCTCTGCAGCGCCCTCCCCGTCTCTGCCTCTCTGAGTCCCTAGCTCGCTCACTCTCTTAATCTGTGTCCCTATAGCCCCCTGCGTCTCTCTGACTCTCCCTGCATCTCCCTCCCCTGTCTGTGAATTTCTCAGCGTCCATTTCCTGTCCTCTCCCTCCGGTCCCTGGCTCCCTGCCGTGCTTCCTCTGGTCCCGAGTCTCCCCTTCATCTTCCGCCGGGCCCTCCTCCCTGTGGCCACCTCCTCCTGTAGTCTCGCGGGGCAGGGTGGGCGCCTGGGCGTGCTGCGCGCGCCCTCATGTGGCCGGCAGGGGCTGCGTGTGAGCGCCGAAAGGGGAGTGCTGGGGAGCGGGGGACGCTGGTGTTCGCGGTGACACTGGGAAATGGCGTGTGACACCTGGAGGCTGTGTGAGTGTGGACTGCCGGGAGACGGCGCGTGACATCTGGAGAGTGTGTGAGTGTGCACTGCCGTGATGGTGTGTGACTCCAGGAGATCTGCGAGTGTGTACTGCTGTGAGATGGTGTGCGACGCCAGGACACTGTGTGAGTGTGGACTGCCGGGAGATGGTGTGCAATGGCAGGAAACTGTGTGAGTGTGGACTGCCGGGAGATGGCGTTCGACATCTGGAGAGTGTGCGAGTGTGTACTGCCGTGATGGTGTGTGACTCCAGGAGATCTGTGTGTACTGCTGTGAGATGGTGTGTGACGCCAGGAAACTGTGTGAGTGTGGACTGCTGGGAGATGGTGTGTGATGCCAGAACTAGGACACCATGAGTGTGTACTGCCGTGGTGTATTGGTGAGATGGTGTGTGGTGCTGGGAGTCTGTGTGTGACTGATTGATGTGAGATTATGTGCGACAAGGAGAGACTGAGTGGGACTGCGTATGTCAGAGATGACATGTCGCTGACAGTGACACTGTAAAATTACTGGTGATGCTGAGAGATCGTGGGTGACTGTGTGTGCTGATGAAAGGTTGTGTGTGATCGGGTGTGGGAGAGACACTCTTTGGGGCTCTGTATGGGACATTGAGAGACCATATGTGGGAGTGAGAGATTGTGTGTGACGGTGCATGTGAGGGGGCAGTGTGTGTGGCTGTGTGCAACATGGTGAGCATATGGTGCTGTGTGTGTCACACAAGCAGATTCTGTGTGAGAGGGAGTGAGGCTGATGACTGGCGTACACTGAGAGGTGGTGGACAGGTGTCATGGGAGGCACACAGAAGGCGTCTCATGAGATGGGACAGACGGAATGAGCGTCAGTCTTTGTCGGCCGCACTGTGTGTGGCTTGTGAAAAAGTGCATGATCCGGGCACATTGCTGCAATCCCAGCACTTTGGGGGGCTGAGGCAGGAGGATCCCTTGAGGCCAGGACTTTGAGACCAGCCTGGGCAACATAGGGAGACCCCTCCCCACGCTGTCTCTACCGAAAAAAAAAATAAAAGAAATTCGCCAGGCGTGGTTATGCACCTTTGTGGTCCCAGCTACTCGGAGGCTGAGGTGAGAGGATCGCTTGAGCCTGGGAGGTGGAGGCTGCAGTGAGCTAAGATCATGCCACTGCACTCCATCCAGCCTGGGTGACAGAGAGAGACCCTGTCTCAAAAAGCAAAACAAAACTGTGTGACTATGTGTGACACTGAGCTCGTGAGAGATGGCAGCATTGTGACAGTGCATGCGAGTGTGCGGCTGTGCAGGGCACTCAGAAGCGAGAGTGTGAGGGAGGCCTTGTGTGTAGAAGGCAAGAGATGATGGAGAGGCGGGAGTGAGTGTGTGAAACGCTGCGAGATTGTGTGGGACTCTGTGAGACACTGAGCCATCGTGGGTAGCTAGGTATGACACCAGGAGATGGGGCGCGTGTGTGTGACAGGGACAGACTGTGTATGGAGGGAATGTGTCAGATGCGTGTGACACCAGGAGACTGTGTGAGAATGTGTGTGGCCTTCCATGGGTGTCACTGGACAGGCAACTGGGTGTTACTATGAAATACTATAAAACAGTGTGTACTTGACAGGTTGCATGGGTAACTGCATGCCATTATGAGACACAGAAAGTGTGAGACTGGGACAGGGTGTGAAACTGAGAGAGAAGTTTAAATGGCATGCAAGGCCAGGCGCGGTGGCTCACACCTGTAATCCCAGCACTTTGGGAGGCCGAGGCGGGTGGATGACCTGAGGTCAGGAGTTCGAGACCAGCCTGGCCAACATTGTGAGACCCTGTCTCTACAAAAAATGCAAAAATTAGCCGGGAGTGGTGGCAGGCACCTGTAATCCCAGCTACTCAGGAGGCTGAGGCAGGAAAATGGCTTGAACCCAGGACGCGGAGGTTGCAGTGAGCCGAGATCACATCACTGCACTCCAGCCTGGGCAACAGTGAGACTCAGTCTCAAAAAAAAAAAAAAAAAAAAAAGGCATGCAAATGTGTGTGACATTTGGAGACATTATATGTGACACTGTGGCAAACTGCTGGTACGTTTGGGGCTCTGAGATAATTTATCCGATGTGTAGCCCTTGGGGCTGCCATTGGTGGTGACTGTGTGTGGCATTTGGGGCGACCGTGTGAGGTTGTGTTGAGCAAGGTCATTTGTGAGGTTGTGTGGTGCTACCATGTGACAGGGCAAGACAGTTTGTGTCTGTGTGAGGGACAGTGAGCATGAGGCTGGGGGGTGACACTGAGGTGGCGAGTGTGGCTGAGTAAGAGGCTCTGTGGGACACACTGGAGAGGTTTGTGTGACTGTGGATTAAATGCACCGAGGCCGGGGACCCACCTAGACAGACTGTCTTTTCTAGTGAAGGTGAGAGAGGCACAGAGTCCCACAAGAGGACAGCAGCGGCAGAGACACAGGGAGAGGGACAAAGATAGGACTGACAGACAAGAGAGAGGGCCCAGAGAGGCAGCCCCAAGGCGGTGGGGCGGCGGGGAAGGTGGCTCCCGGAGGAGGCGGGTCCGTAGGGCCTGCGCCCCAGGGGAGGGGGCGGGGCGGGCCGGAGGGACCCAGACGCTGCCTCCCAGCCTCTGTCACCGCCACCAGCCCGGCCCAGAGCAGCAACAGGTAGGAAGCTCCGGTCTCGGCCCCACAGCTGGTCCCTTTGCCTGCTCCGTGGCCACCGTCTCTTCGCCTGAGAATGATTGAATGAATGAGTGAATGAGTGAGTGAATGAATTCTTCTACGTCTTCATCAGCCTGTCTCTCGCTTTGTTCCTCTCTCCCACTTTCTGGTTCCATCTCTCCCCAACCCCTCCATCTCCCTCTCTTTCCTTCCCTTCTTGCCTCTGTCCCTCTATCTCCTCGTCTCTGTCCCTTTATCCCCTTGGTGTCTCTCTGCTCTTTCCTCCATCCCCCCTTCCTCCATTTCCCCTTCTCTCTCCTTTCTCCCTCCCTCCATCACCCCATCCTCTCCCACCCCATCCGTCCATCTCCTCCATTCTCTCCCATCCCACACCGCCTCCCTCCATCTCTCTATCCTCTTCCACCCCATCCGTCCATCTCCTCCATTCTCTCCCATCCTACACCACCTCCCTCCATCTCTCCATCCTCTTCCACCCCACACCTCCTCCCTCCATCACCCCATTCTCTCCCACCCCATCCGTCCATCTCCTCCATCCTCTTCCACTCCACACCCTCTCCCTTCATGTCCCCATTCTCTCCCACCCCACACCCCCTTCCTCCACCTCCCCTGCTCTGTCCCCTCGGTCCCTTTGTCCCCTCGGTGCCAGTTGCCTTGTATCACCCTGTTCCTTGCTCCCCCCTTCATTTGTCCCTCTATTTTCTCCTCCATCACTTCATTCCTTCCCCAGTCTCTCCCTCTCTCTATTCCTCCCCGTTTCTTCATTTCTCCAGTGCCTCAGTCTCTCCCTCCATTACTTTGCCTCTGTCTCTGCGCGCCCCGTTGTCCTTCTGTCCACCCGATAGGCCTCTCCTCGGTTGGGCTCCCCCAACCCTCTCCCCTGGCTGCTAATGAGCAGAGGAGCCTTTGAGGTGGCCAGGGCTGGAGTGGGGGGTCTCCCTGAGGGGGGCGGAGGGGGCAGCTGCTGCCAAGGCCCTAATGAGTCCCCCTCTGTGCCCCTCCCGCCGCGATCTTAATTCCCAGTTCTCCCTGGAGCCACTGCTAATTGGCCTGAGGAGGGGCCCCCCTCCTGGCTCTTGCTCTGCCCCCGGGGGGTGAGGACACCTGGATTCTGATCCAGCACCTGTGGCCCTGTCCTTCTGTCTCAGCCTCCCATCTGTGCGCCCCTCCTTCCCTCCCTCGCCCCTCCCCGTTCTCTCCCACCTGCCTTAGGTACCTCCATCCGTGCACCCCTGCATCGCTCCTCTTGTTCCTGTCCCCCTCATCTGTCCCTCCCTCCACCAGCCCCTGGCCACCCCATTCGCGCGCCCTTCCACCCTCGCACCTGTTACCGGGTCCGTCTCCTCACCCCCGCCTCGGGACCCAAACGTATCCTCACCTACTCCCACAGCCTCAACTCCTGCGCGTCTTTTAACCCCTTCCCCGCCGCAACCATGTCCAACAACATGGCCAAGATTGCCGAGGCCCGCAAGACGGTGGAACAGCTGAAGCTGGAGGTGAACATCGACCGCATGAAGGTGCTGGGTCAGGGTAGGGAGCAGGGCGGGGATTCTGGGCCTGCGGTCTGTCCCGGGCTGTGTCGGCCGGGAGCCATAGTGCAAGGATGCACCTGGGAAGAGGGCTGGGCAAGGGGCGGGGCAGGGCAGGAGGAGGGGCCAGGACGAGGGGCGGGGCAGGACAGGAGGAGGGGCCAAGACGAGGAGGGGGCAGGACAGGGGAGGGGCCAGGACGAGGGTCGGGGTAGGACAGGGGGAGGGGCCTGTATGAGACGGGGCAGAGTGGGAGGAGGGGACCGGGCAAGAGGCGGGGCCTAAGTGGGCGGCTCTGAGGAGTCGAGCAGGGCGGTGACATCTCCACCCGGGTGCTCGCAGGTGTCCCAGGCAGCAGCGGAACTCCTGGCTTTCTGCGAAACGCATGCCAAAGATGACCCGCTGGTGACGCCAGTACCCGCCGCGGAGAACCCCTTCCGCGACAAGCGCCTCTTTTGTGTTCTGCTCTGAACCCTCCAGACAGCTTACCCTCCCCTGCCAAAGTATGGATCCAATAAACTTGGTAACTGTGGTAGTGCCTGTGCTTTCAGGGAAACTGAGGTACGCACAGAGCTTGGGGCCACCGTGGGGGAAGCTGTGTCCGTTCTCATTCCTTCTGAGTGTGTGTGTTGGGGGTAGGGGTGGACGTGGAGTGAGTATGACTCCACCAAAGCCTCAGAGGAGATGAGTATTCAGTGCTGTCTCCTCCACGATCGATCCTGAACTTAATGGTCCCGACGGCCCCAGAAGGCAGCTGACTACTTGTATGATACCCATGAGGAAACTGAGCCAAAGGAAGTCCTTTATTCAGAGTCGCAAAGCTAGGAGGTAACAGAGCGCTGACGGGGGTACTCCAGTACTCCCTGAACCCCTCCACTAGCCTCTCTCCTCCCCACTGGGTTGGGCATTCTTAGGGTCCCCAGTCCCCATCCCACACTTCTCACCCCCTGAACGACTTCTTTTTTCACACCTGGTTTCCCTGTACCGCAGGCCCGCTTCTGTCCTAAAGTCCTGCACTTTTTCTCTGCTCACTCGTTCATTCATTCATTCACTCATTAACTCTTCCAAACACTCCCTGATACCTACTTTCTGACCAGCGTTGGGCAATGCTAGGGACATGGCTGTGACCAAGACAGCCCTGGCTCTGCCCTGCCCTCTTGGGGCTCAGAGTCCAGTGGGAGAGAAAGACCTGTCCCCAGATGGTAAAAACCCAGAGTGGGCAGTGCTGAGTCGGGGAGTGCAGAGGGAACTCCTGACTCAGCTTGGAGGTAAGTGTGCTTCCTGGAGGAGGTGACATCTCAGCTGGAACATGGTGGTAATAAAACTTGGGGACTCAGAGAAGAGAGAAACATGGCTAGAGGGAGGGAGAGGAAATAAAATAATGAGTACATTCCTTCATCCTTCCTTTATTTTGTCATTGTTCTGGAGATACAGGGGTGACTGTGACGGCCCTGGTTCTTGCCCTCTGTTTTCCAATTCACATACTACTGGCCTGCAGGACATATGTAGCTTGCAGATATATATATATGTAGAGAGAGAGGAGATAAAGAGAAAGACAGAGAGAGAGAGTCTCACTCTGTCACCCAGGCTGGAGTGCAGTGGCACAATCTCGGTTCACTGCAACCTCCGCCTCCCAGGTTCAAGCAATTCTCCTGCCTCAGCCTCCCAAGTAGCTGGGATTACAGGCATGCACCACCACGCCCAGCTAATTTTTGTATTTTTAGTAGAGGCGGGGTTTCACCATGTTGGCCAGGCTGGTCTTGAACTCCTGACCTCAAGTGATCCGCTCGCCTCAGCCTCCCAAAGTGCTGGGATTACAAACATGAGACACCTGCCCGGCCACAGTTAAATTTTTATGGCTTTACGTGATGTTTAAAGATGTTCTTGACTTGGCTGCCAAATTGAAAAACACAGATATTTGACATCAAAGTCCATATTTCTCTGGAATTGCAGTCTTCTCTGAAATTGTAAGGTCTGGGGACTCACAGGCTGTAAGACAGGGCCTGGGTTTTCCAGCTCACCAAAATCCCCACCATGCCCTATGGTCTCCTGGTCAAGGAAGCTGGGGACCAGTCGCCATTTAACCTGAAGCCTGTGTCGGGGGCTTCTTACAGAGGAATGAGAAATAAAATGGCCGGGCGCAGTGGCTCACGCCTGTAATCCCAGCACTTTGAGAGGCCGAGGTGGGCAAATCACTTGAGGTCAGGAGTTCAAGACTAGCCTGGCCAACATGGTGAAACCCCATCTCTACTAAGAAGACAAAAGTTAGCTGGGAATGGTGGCACGAACCTGTAATCCCAGCTACTCGGGTGGCTGAGGCAAGAGAATTGCTTGAACCTGGGAGGTGGAGGTTGCAGTGAGCCAAGATCACACCACTGCACTCCAGCCTGGGCAACAGAGCAAGACTCCATTTCAAAAAGAAAAAAAGAAAAGAAAAGAAAAATAAAAAGTTCTGTGTCTCCATTGAAAATGGGGAGGGCTGGGCGCGGTGGCTCATGCCTGTAATCCCAGCACTTTGGGAGGCCGAGGTGGGCAGATCACGAGGTCAGGAGATCGAGACCAACCTGGCTAACACAGTGAAACACTGACTCTACTAAAAATACAAAAAAAATTAGCCAGACGTGGTGGTGGGCACCTGTAGTCGCAGCTACTCAGGAGGCTGAGGCAGGAGAATGGCATGAATCTGGGAGGCGGAGCTTGCAGTGAGCCGAGATCACGCCACTGCACTCCAGCCTGGGCGACACAGCAAGACTCCGTCTCAAAAAAAAAAAAAAGAAAATGGGGAGAATGCAGGCCAGGGAAGCTGTGGGTTTGGCCAATTAGTTTATCTGGTTGGTCCAAGGGCCTGAGGATCACTCCCTCTCCTCTCCCTCATCTCCTCTTATCTTGTCTAATACTCAGGCTCCCCAGCTCGTGGCTGGTGGAGGCTGGACCCTGGGTCTGGCTGGAGGTGGCTTGCTGGGCCTCCCCTCCACAGGGGGAATGTGCACAAGTCTGCTCCATTATTCACACTGGATTAGGGTCCCCCGGGTGCCTAGTCTGAGTCTCCTGTAGGATCCAGGCAGGAGCGTCTGTAATTACATCTCCCTCCTGCTTCCCACCGCCGAGCCTGCTTGGCTCGGGCCTGGTTGCATCATGTCTGTGGGAGCCCCGGGGGAGACGGGGGACAGGGAGTGAGCCAGAGATGAGCTAGGGTGTGGAGGAGGAGCCGGGAGAGAAGCTGGGCAGGAAGGAGCTAGAAGGATTCCAGAATTCACAGATCCTGCATCCTCATAGCTCAGAACCTGAAATGCAAAGGAATCTAGGATCCCAGGACCTCCGAGGGCTGGAATTCCAGCATCTTTCAATCCTATGGGGCCAAGATCCTGGGCTCCTGCGCCCTAGGATTCCAGAGCTCGGCATATCAGGAGAAGTGTAAGGAGTTCCTGAGCCTAGGCTCTTGGGAGCTAGATCCTTCGAGCGCTGGAATGTCGGAGCTGCGTAGTGCAAACCCTTCCTCCTTCCCATCCCTGGTCTTGGGGGACAGAAACTATGGAGATGTAAGCGGTTGAATGGGACCTGGGTTGGGGGAAGGGAGGGCCGGCGGGAGTGGGACACAGAGGGGACCAGCAGGAGGTGTCTTTCTGGAGGAAGAGGAGGATGGGGAACTGGGGCTGGGGGAAGGAGAAGCCAGGAGTCACAATCCAGAAGGGACAGGGCAGGTCCCCGTGTGCCCATCCTCCATGAGAACAGATCCGAATAATCTTATTAGATTTACCGCCTCGTAGCAGCACCAGCTTCTGGTCACCAGCTGCTGCTTCCTGCCACCCCCAGAGGTGAAGTCAGCTCTGGGGCCAGGCCCAGGCTGGGGTCAGAGACAGGCCAGGAGGTAGAGGTGGCTGCAGGGCGAGGTGCTTGTTCCTCCAGACCCCAAGGGCTCTCAGCTGCCCTATTCCAGGCTGTCTTCCCTCTGCACCCCCATCGCAAACTGCACCTCAACCCAGGCGCTCAGAGCAGCGCATGGCCTGGCTGAAGGGGTAGGGCAGGGGACGGAAAGCTCAGAGCCAGCAGGAGCTGCAGTCTTGGCCATCACTTCCTAGGGGAACGGTTCAACAGTCCCATCTTGCTCAATGCTCACAGTAGCCTTCAAGGGGACTCTGTTTATCCCCATTTTACAGACAAAGAAAACAGGCCTGGGGCCCAGCGCAGTGGCTTATGCCTGTAATCCCAGAACTCTGGAAGGCCAAGGCAGGCGGATCATTTGAGGTCAGGAGTTCAAGACCAGCCTGGCCAACATGGTGAAACCCTGTCTCTACTAAAAATACAAAAATTAGCTGGGCATGGTGGCGCGCACCTGTAATCCCCGCTACTCGGGACAGTGAGGCACGAGAATCGCTTGAACCCAGGAGGCAGAGGTTGCAGTGAGCCGAGATTGCACCAGTGCACTCCAGCCTGAGGACAGAGCAAGACTCCATCTCAAAAAGAAAGAAAGAAAAATAGGCCCATCCTGGCTAACACGGTGAAACCCCATCTCTACTAAAAAATACAAAAAACTAGCCGGGCGCGGTTGTGGGCGCCTGTAGTCCCAGCTACTCGGGAGGCTGAGGCAGGAGAATGGCGGGAACCCGGGAGGCGGAGCTTGCAGTGAGCTGAGATCCGGCCACTGCACTGCAGCCTGGGTGACAGAGCGAGACTCTGTCTCAAAAAAAAAAAAAAAAAAAAAATAGGCATGGAGAGGTAACCAGCTGGGGTTTGAGACTGGAATGGGAGGATCGGATGGATGACCACTCTGGACAGGTTCAGGGGGTGACAAGGAGGCCTTGAAGACTGGGAAATGAGGGGATCCCCAGGTGAGGGGCATGGCCCATTCAGAGGCAGGAGACTGGACTGGGTTATGCCCCCTGGAGCAAGGTGAGATGCAGCCACAAGAAGGTAGGCTAGGGCCTGTTTGCGGTGGAGGGCGGTGAGTGGTTAGAGAAAGGAGGCCTCTGGCTCTGGATGCTGGAATGAGTCAAGGCGAGACAGGTCTGGGACACGTAGCAGTTTCTCAAAGCAGTGAGAGGGCACAGCAGGCCGACGGCAGGCCTGGCAGGCACGAGCAGCTGGTGGTGCGTGTGTGCAGAACATGAGATAAGGCCTGCCTCCTCCCAGGGCCAGTGCCAGGAAGATGGAAACCAGGGAGTCCGGAGAGGGTCAGGCCCAGGGCAAGCCAGGATCTTAGGTCTGCGGCACTTCCAGATGCAGGCCTGGGCCGGGTGTGGTGGGTCAAGCTTGTAATCCCAGCACTTTGTGAGGCTGAGGTGGGGGGGGGGGATCACTTAAAGTCATGAGTTCGAGACCAGCCTGGTCAACATGGTGAAACTCTGCCTCTACTAAAAATACAAAAATTAGTCAGGCATGGTGGCGGGCACCTGAAGTCCCAGCTACTCAGGAGGCTGAGGCAGGAGCACCGCTTAAGCCTGGGAGGTGGAGGTTGCAGCAAGCTGAGATCTTGCCACTGCACTCCAGCCTGGGTGACAGAGTGAAACCCTGTCTCAAAAAAATTAGGTCACA